TGACAGAACGTGGTCTGGAGGAGGTGGCAGAGGGAAGGAACTTATTGATAGCTGCAAGGGATAGGAAGAGGTGGAGAGCCATGATCGCTTATGTCCTGAAAGGACACTGCATATAGAAAAAAAGAGTAAGACAAGGCAGTTCTTGTAAAAAAAAAGAAATTGAACATCGAATAAGCTGTGTCAGAGTTAGCTTCGCCCAACACTGCAACAAAACCAAAGCATCAAGCTGAAAACTCGTCATGTCAAATCGCAATTTTTATATAGACGTCATGCATGGCAATAAATCCGGCCATAAACAGTCAGCTATATACAACCGCATCGTAAGATCAGTGGTGACAAAAGGCTTTGAGCGAGTAAAACCGAAGGGTCTTGGCAAAGATCATCCTTCTTTGAATACTGTGGACTGGCGCAACAGATTCAAAAAGAACTATACCAAATAACAGAAACCAGATCACTTAAGGACGACCAACAGCAGCAACAACTAAAATGAATAGCACATGCAACTCGAAGACATAATCAAGATGTTAACATCCCACACGACTTCAAATAAAAAGTTAGGAAGGAAATCCCCATCAATACTAGAAAGAGCAATAACAGCTACTTGACTTTAGGAATCTGTTTTCCTGAAAAAGAATATTTAAGAGAAAGATTTTATAAATTTCACCCGAGAGCAAAAGCGATTGCTCGGTCAATGAATTCCGAATGTCTCCTTATAAGGAAACCGCTAAAATTAACATTATCATTTGTGGTGTAAGCTTAACAATATAAGATAACCAGAAGTACGTCCTAGACAGGGTGATAGAAGAAAGCGAGAAGAAAGGACTAACCATCAGCACATATGACTCAAAGAGAATAATGACATAATCAAGGTGTTGATATTCCACACTATTTCAAATAAAAGGTTAGGAAGGAAACCCCCATCAGTACCGGAAAGATAGATAACAACCACTGGACTTGAGATACTTGTTTTGCTGAAATATTGTTTTAAGTGACAGATTTTATAAATTTCAATCGAAAAAAATTACTGGCTGCTCGGTCAATGAATGCCGAATGTTCCCTTATAGGAAAACGCCTAATATTACCATTACCATTAATTAGCATTCATTCTCTGGTATTCATAAAAAGAGATAGGTTGTTGTGCACATAAGGAATGACGAAGTCATTGAAAAGTCGAAAAACACTCGAAACAATCATGAATTTCTTTTCTGTTTACAGGCTGTCCTAAAATGAATGAAAAATATTTTCAATTTTTTTTTATTTCTGTTGACTTAATTTTATACTAAATGGCATCTAATAGAAGGTTCAAGAGCCACTCATGGTAGAACGTAAGAAAATCTAGAAGGAAACGAATACTATGATTAAAAGAAGAATACATAGCAATTAACACTTGACGTGAAGAGGTTAAGAATGTAATGTTCGCGGGAGTTTGTTCCACAAAATAACAATTCTCAGGAAAAGGCTGTCTGAGTGGGACTTGCTCTTTACAAATGGAACACGGCAGTAATCTAGATGATTCGACTCCGTTGACGGAACATGCCGAATCCTGATTGTAAAGGTTTGAACTAGTGAAACTAGAGACTGGAGTAAATCTGAACATTTGCCATGGAAATAGCGATAGTGTAGCGATAAGGTCTGTAGCATTTCGTCTGGGGGAAAAAGGTTGTAGAGTGGGAAATACCATACAACGTAAACGACTGTGAACTTTATAAAGCATAGAAAATGAAAATTGGGCAACCCCAGATCATGGCAATTCTCCATTGTTGGTTCAATCTGACTCTCGTAAAATTAAAGGACAACAGGTGGAGTTTAGTGTTTTCTGGAGCAGTACAAGAAGTCGACCATTTTCCTAGCATCTTTAGTGACGGATCGCGAACTAGAATTCCAATAGACGTTCAAAGCATGAAGCAGCGTCCTTAATGCAACCGTTCATCCTAACTGGAGAGTACTGAGTCTGATTGGTGATTATGTATTACCTTCATACAAGCGAGTTGTATTATGTATTACCTTCATACAAGCCTTTCATAAATAGATACATTGAAAGTTAGTTTTGCGGTCTAACATTCTAAGCATCGACATGTTCTTAGTGTTATCGATTTAGTAATTAGTAACAACTACCAATTAATATTTAGGTCTTGAATTCAAACATTCCTTTCACCTACACCGGTGCCTCTACCAAGTCTAAAGAGACACGCCCAACCTATTATTTCGAACGGATTTAAATTCAGTGTTTTCCTTCTTTTAGACTGATTGCTTTACAAAAAGGGGTTCAGTTAGCTTTAGTTTACAGGGGTTTTGAATTATGAGTTTCTTTCTCTTAGACCGGCTGCTCCCCACCCCCACGATGCTACCAAGCCTAGTCTCCCCAGTTATTTACAGGGTTTCATATTCAGTTTTTCTGCTAGGTAGTTTCACTAAAAACGACTTGAAGTGAACATGAAACACAACAGAAGTTCAAGTAGCCTCATTGAGAGTGCAGCTGTTCATCGTGTCGAGAAGAAAAGCCTGATGTCATCACTTCTCAACACTTAGAGCGATAGAATGAGCCAACCATTTTCGCAGCATATTTATTAGATGTATTTAAGTGAACATGAAACCCATTAGACGTGCAAATTAAGGAGCCTCATTGAAATACAAGAAAAATATAAAACACGAATGTTAAATGCAAGATCTGGAAGAAAAATACAAAATAGAGAAGAAAAATTGAAGACATCGAAGAAAAATACAAAACAAGAAACAAAAATGCCAAGATATGCAAGAAAAATGCATAGAAGAAAAATACAAAACATGTAAAAAAAAGTGCAAAATATGAAAGAAAAATTCAAAACATGAAAGGAAAGTGGAATATATGGAAGAAAAATGCAAGATATGGAAAAAAATATAAAACAAGAATGATAAATTGCAAGATCTGGAAGAAATATAGAAAGCATGAAAGGAAAATGCAAGATATGGAAGATCTTATCACATTCTCGTCGCCAAGATGTGACCAAGTAAATGGTTAAAGAAATAACAAAACAAGTGTTGCAGATATATCATATATTAAACAGTAAGTACAACAGAAGAGTTTTACACGACTAGTGAGTGTGTGTCGGTTGATCCAGCGTTCAATCTATTCGACTGTTTCCCCCAAGGCCTTCTCTCCTACTAATCTTATAGTAGGCGGAAGAGTCCAACATAGACTCTTTAGAGGTAGGACACCTCGACAATCAGGAACACAGTTCCTTAAGGGGGGCTTTGAACTCATAGATGATGTTCGTTCGTTGTAATTTTGACTTAGCTGATGTGTTGTTATTTTTTGAGGATAAGGTTAGCTGTCTTAAATTTTTTTATAGTAGATAATTAATTTGATATTTTTATTCGGTTCAATATATATATATATATATATATATATACATATATATATATATATATATATCAAGAACAGATTTAGATGAAACAAATGACAAAGCAAAAAAGTTTTCGTCCTGTAGAAATTCATTGAACTAAGTTCATGTTTGCTTTTATGCGACGACACATTTCTTTCGCAAACAAAATGGAGACGTTGGGCATTTTAATTTTAAAATAAGTTTTGTTTTTTTAATATGTGTTTTGTGTATATAATCGAGCTGATTTCATTTAAGTTATTTTCCTTTTTCCTTTATGTTCCCAACATTTTTGTTATTAAATAGCACATTGTGATAATATAAACTCTGCCAAGAATGGTCAAACATTGTAAGAACGTAGACGCAAATTTACTGTGTAATTTCAATTATAAAAATTCTACTCTAATTAAAAGAGAAAACAATTTACTACAACGAAAATGTTTAGAAATTGCTATAATCGCCAGATCATTCACAGTAAATTTTGCGTCCAGGTTTTTTACAATCTTTCACCATTATTGGCAGATCTTCTATTGTTACATCTTGGGGTATTTAATAACAAAGGTTATGGAAACATAGACATTAACAAAGTCTTACTAACTAAAGAGATGGATTTATACCTTTCCCAAAGGTATTTGCCCGTAAGTGAATATAACGAACCCAAGTAAAATTCGAACTCGGCTCTCTGATTTCCAATGCCGAACCGTTATCAATTACACCACCCGCTTATCCAAGGTCATCGCACCTAGTATTCCAATTCATCCATCTATGTAATGACCTGGTTTGATGTTGCTTCACTTTGGTCATCATACGGGAACAGATGTTTCAACGTGATATGGCCATAAGTTCTCACACCTCCGATTTGGAATTCAGGGTTTTCCTTCTTTTATATTTGTTGCCACCCAAGGCTAAATAACCCAGTTTACCTTGCTATTTCATTCATAACGTGGAGAAGATGCGAAGATAGGAGACTGGTTCATGCCTTTCACAAGAGAATCTATGCATAAGTAAACGTAAAAGATAAATCCGGAATTCGAACTCCATTCGTCGATTCCACTTTCTGCGCCGACAGCCGATACATTACCCGTACATCAGTTGGTATAAATTATTTAATATCCGATGAATATTTGGATGTAATTTGTTTTCTACTCTATAGAATCATTTAACGCATTTGTATAAAATACTTGATGGATACTCTGGCAACACGTAACATTGCATTGTCGAATTATACAGCAACTATCTTGAACTAATTCTCCGATAACGAACACAAACTTTGTCAGTAAAGACTTGAGGCAATTAATTGCTAATAAGCATGAAAAAAGAAAAATGATATGACAAGGAGTTGATTGTCGCTAAATCAGCCCTGCTGCCGAACATAAAAAAATTCAATATGGCTGATGTGAAACATCTTCCGCGAGTTCGTCGTCATTGTTAAATCTCACCAACATGGATGCTTAAGATAATTAGGAACGTTAGTAAATATGTGGCACAGAATGATGTGAATGATAATTTATAATTATCCAGGCTGAATGTTAATCAGGTTACGCTAAAGTATACAGTATGCTGCTGATACATCCGAAAAATTATTGGATAATAAAAATAGCGTTTTTTATATAACAAATAAATACATTTCAATTAAACTTTATGCACAGGCACATATATAAGGTACAGAAATCACTCGACGTGACCACCATCAGCGGCCACCTCTTTCTTCAAGTAGGGCCAAAATCTGGAGCAGGTGTTGGTGGCGGCATCCCTATCCACGTTGACCATGGCATCACTGATAGCTGCCTCGAGAGCCTGCTTAATGTTGTAAGACCTGCTGTTCGCCTCTCTCTCCAAGACGCCCCACACAAAGTAAACGAGAAGATTGCAGTCTGGCGATGAGGGGCGGTGGTCATAAGTGTTGTAGAGTTATTTCGCAGTGGAGGCTTGTATATGTACTAAATCGGTCCTAAAATAGGTTCGACGTACAAAACGTTAGGAACTTGATAGAATAGGTATTACGCAGAGTAATCTTGTTGTGGTCGCTGACTACTTACGTATTCGACTAACTGTCGACTACTGTCATCCGACATTGTGGCACAAGGCCGGTTTAACGTGGGAAAAAAAATATACCCCTTGAACCCGTATAAACGGGTTCAGGGTCGGTTTACCTCCCCGAACGAGACCCCGCCCTTCGGCGTAGCCTCGTTCGTGTTCCTCCCCGCTCGAAGGCAGAGAGTTCAACCGTTCAGCCGGTCGTTCGACATCGACTGACCGTCGTTTCTCTTACTACTCCTACTTATATTAGGTGGGAAAGTCTATTAACTATAGAATAGGTGTGTTTCACCATAACAATAAGACGACCAGTAGTACCAATTAGCAAGTTGCGTCTCTTGAGAACATAAGATTTAGAATACAAGTCCTCCTTGATATTATGCTCAGTTGTTCGTCTTCTTGTGCCCATTTCCTTAGTGATTTTCCTCATGCTTTTTTCTGGGATTCTCCTTGAGAGCATCGGCAACATCGGCGACGACCTCTGGCGTTCTGGTGGCGTCAGAGCGCTTCTTACGAGTCTTGCGTTCTGGCCTGAAATTGTCTTTGTCGTCTGAGGTCCCACATGCCTTTGAAAGTTCGAAGAACATGGTTTTCGGATATTTAAACCATTTAATGATTTCCTTGGCTTTGTGGCCAACGCGAAGGCTCTACACAACATCAGCTTGACATTTATATTCTGAGTCATCTCGATTACTAAGCACATATGCTATTGACAAGTAGTTCTTTCAAATGGCGCGCTCCAAATCACGCTACGCTGTGACGTCACAACTTTGTTGCAACGTAAAAATTACAGATTTATCTGCGCCATATTGGACTGTGTGGGACGGAAAAGCCATGAACCAAGTAAGATATCTCTTATTGCCACCAAAGCATTTGGAGGTAATATTAAATTTTGCTAAACAGCATCTACACAAAGTTCAAACATTTCAGGATATCATTTTGTGATCTTATGAGATGAATTTAACACTTTTCAGTCATTCAAGCAAGAAATACGTGTGACAGACAAGATTGAATGTTATTTGCTGAATAACATCATTCTCTCAGGAGTATAGAAAAGACGGCGTTCAATCCCAGCTAACAGGGAACTGTAGCGTTGCAGCTGAGACCAGATACCAGGTTCGTTCGCAAGGTGAAGCTTCTTCCAGTCGAATTCTTGTGGCTTAATACAAGGAAAATAATTTTTCGGCCAAGTCTTTACTCACGGAATAAAACCCTGAGACGAGATTGCAGCAGTCGGCAAATTTTATTCGATTGTAACCTTCTTCTGTATACGATCGAGACAGAGTGAGGGGCGAGCGGTATAACTGACATGCATTGCTTTTCGCGTGGCCATCGAGCGGTCTCTGTGTTTTGGGATTCTAGGTGACCACCGTCTTATAGATAAACCGCCTTCTTTATCCTGTCAGCTTTTGTTCAAAATAGACATCGATCAAATCCGCTCAGCTGAACTTCTTTGTCAAGGTTGTTTGACATGGTTCTTGTGAGATCCACTTTACTCAGCTGACCTGTCAAGACGATAACTGTCCAAACAATTCCGGTAATATCTTTCAGATGATATCGGCTGACAACTGATATCGCTACAGAACGTTCTTCCAATGTTGAAGACATGTTGTATTTTGGTTGGGGGATATGTAACCTCTTGCTGACGTTACTGTAACGTTGTAATCAACTATAATCCTGACCCCAAAATGACCACTCATCCTCAAAGTTTTCATAGCATTATGGTAACGCTGTAAATTCATGTAGTTAAAAAATCCACGCTGATGAATAATATTTCCTACAAAGCACAAGAAATTATGGAGTGCCATGATCATCAACGTACTGAAGGGACACTGCACAAAGACGAAGAAAAAGAATTTTAAAAAACAACTTGCCCAGAGAGCCTGAGTAAATGAATGGTGGAGCAAGGTTTAGGAAAAAAATTTTTTTAAATTTATTAAGGCCTAAAATCACCGGTAATTGTGAAGAGCCATGATCACCAATGTTCTGAACGGACACGGCCCATAGACGAAAGAGAATCATTTTAAGATGAACAACTTACCCAGAGAGACTGAGTAAATGTATGACGGAGCAAGGTTTTAGAAATTTAACAAAAAAGACAAAATTTATTAAAAGGCACAAAGCACAGGAAATTGTGGAGAGCCATGATAGCCAACGTTCTGAAGGGAAACGGTACATAAACAAAGAATTTTAATTATTCGGACTATTGTCCTCATCTTTGTCGCCATATTACAACATTTTGGCCGTTGTACGCTCCGGCCTTTTTCATGTGGTTGGAATGTCGAACTGAACCCTTTATTTCGCTCATTAGGGTAGACTGTTCTAGTCCCACGTGCCATGTTTAATGAAAGTTCTCCTCCGTCTTAACCGGGTATTGAACTCACACTCTTTGGGTCTTGTCACTGAATCTAACTAACGATTTTATCCACTGTGCCATGTGTCCTTGAGATAACTGATAACGGACATCCATCAAACATGGCACGTGGAACTAGAACAGTTTACCCCAGTGAGCGAAATAAAGGGGTCAGTTCGACATTCCAACCACCTGAAGAAGGCCGGAGCGTACAACGGCCGAAACGTTGTAATAAATATGGCAACAAAGATGAGGATAATAGTCCGAATGATGTAAGTAATGTACATAATACCTCATCTCAGAAATATAGACAGATACTGAAAGAATTTTAAGATGAACAACCTACCTAGAGAGCTTGTGTAAATTGATGCAATGTTTAAGACAGATAACGAAAAAGGTAAAATTTATTGATGTGGACCCAAAGTTGGGACCACGGAAGGAAAACACAGAACACGGATTAGAGGTCATAAAGATATATTAAACAAAAAGGTTACAAAGATAGCGTAAGTGTAAGCGGAGCTTACTATGTGCTAGTGTTCAATATTGGTAGTCGTACGCGGCTGATACTACGGTATTAGAATCTCTCTCTCTCTCTCTCTCTCTCTCTCTCTCTCTCTCTCTCTCTCTCTCTCTTCTCCTCTTCCCCTAGAGTGTTATATCGCATGCTTTATATAGTCCTGGAAGAGTCCATGTTGTAGGTATGTTACGGTCTCACAACATTTATCATGAGCTACAAAGAAATTGTGGAGAGCCATGATCGCCAACGTCCTGAACAAAAGCTTGAAAATGAACGAACTTTTCTTCAGTTAAGTTTATTGATTGCAATAGCGTCGACGCTATTAGTTCGCAGTGTAAATCTCACAAAATGAAAGATGTATTGTTGTATATCTTTCAAAGAATGATCGCCGGTAATGAAGACGTTAAATTCTCCAGAAATAAGTTGATATTATTTTTATCGTATACGCGTCTAGAATCGCACCCGTTCACCGCTCTTTTCAGTTGTTTAGCCGAAACATCTAACTTTTGTCTGGTTTTGGTGAATTAAAATGTCAAAACCGGTTCAAAATGTTGCATCGCTGAAGGCTTCTCGCTTGCGTTATTGTCTGCACTGGACAGAGGAGAGAAGGAGAGTAACGTTCTAGGAGTGAAAGCCAAGAGAGTCAATGAAAAGATGAATAACCTCAAAATCAATAACCGTTCTAAATGAAAGCTATTCGCAGATCACTAAATTCTATAATGTTATATTTATTTCTTTTAATCTTCATAAGTTCTTTATTGATTTCCAAGCTGATTCGATAAATTTAAAATTGATCTTTAACATTATATATATATATATATATATATATATATATATATATATATATATATATATATATATATATATATATATATATATATATATATATTAAGCGTTTCACCCCAAGCAAGGCGAGGGCACCTGGGCGGGGTGTAATAGTTAGCAAGCTTGTCTTGCTAGATCAGTTACTACTGTAAAAGTGAGTTCGATCCTCACTGGATGCCCCGTACTTTCGGCCTTGTGCCACATCTACGCCGGGCTTAGAAAATCACCCCAAGCAAGGCGAGAATCCACTCGGACGCAAGAGGTTACAGAAAATTTGGAGCAAGATCAGATAGGAATGATAGAAGAAAGAATGAGGAGAAGGGTAGTGGATAGATCAAGGCAACTGGAGATGTCGATTGACATTACATTTGAATAGCTAGGGATTATAGCTCTCAGGGAAACTGGAATAGGGAAGGGAGTTCCTCAGGCGAGAGGTGCGAGACATGAAGCTATTGGAGTAGAAGAGACGACTACATTTAGGAGTTTCGATAGTGAAACCGTGAGAGCGGGATGCCAGTCTCGTAGGGCGCTTGAACCCATGAAGTCTGGGAACCAGCGAATGCAGCTCCTATATATACACACACACTCATATATATATATATATATATATATATATATTTACTGGGTGTAACACCAAATTTGTCCAAATCGTGTAACAGCATAATTGTCCATCCCACAAAATGTTTAATATCTAAAAAAAAAAAAAAAAATCCACTAAACTAATCCTGTTTCTTTATCCAGTTCTTTAGATAAGACGTTTAAACATCTTGACATTATTTGTTGTAAGAATCACTGGAAAAAAAAAACTTTGATTTATTCAGTTAGAAAGAGAATATGTTAAAATAGTTTTGTGTCAGATCCACTGTCTCCCAACTGAGCAATGGTGAGAGGAAAAAGATCATTCGGGCCAACATTCATACTCCGGCTTCCATCTTCAAATCCATTCAAGAACCATCCAATGAACAGTGAATAAGTTTAGAAAAGAGGAAACAGAGGGAACAAATTTAAAAATTGATCTTTTACACACACACACACACACACATACATATATATATATATATATATATATATATATATATATATATATATATATATATATTCTCAAAATGTGCGCGTGTATGTATGTGTGTGTGCGTGTGTATGTGAGCGGATGTTGTTTATGCATTTCCATAGTTTTCATCCAAATTTGATGAAATTTTTTTGTTTGATAATTCTCCAGTGCCGGTTTTGAGTCCAAATTGTTGGCGACAATGGCTCTCCACTACTTCCTGTCCATTATAAATCTCAGCAACGTTTTATTATTTACTATCTGTTCTTGGCTATATATCTTTCATGAAAACTTCAGTAAAAATAAATAGTTTGAATTATTACAATAATATTATTATACAGTTCCCTTTTCAGGGCCACACCCACCCCATACAAATTGTTATCCCCCTCCCCATTTGGGGATGTGCCTCAGTTGCACCCAATTGTTGTTAGTAATATTGATTTTCGGGTGGGCTGATTTTAAACTTAAACTGCTCCATTTGAACGGCAAATTCCCAGTAATGAAAGACCCGGTCAAAGACGGGTTATACTGCTAGTATATATATATATATATATATATATATATATATATATATATATATATATATATATCTCAATTTGAGGTGTTAACATCTTCTGCTGATAAAGCTGAATGCTTTGCCCGTAATTTCTCCTTAAATTACTCTTGACTTATTAGGAGTATCCTTGCCTATCCTCCCTTCTAGAATTGGGTCTCTTTTGAGTGATATGCATATAACCCCTTCTATGGTTTCTGCTGTCTTATCTAATCTGGATCCCTACAAAACATGTAGACATGATTGTATTACCGTAATCGTCCTTAAGAAGTGTGCTGCCGAAGTTGTTCCTGTTCTCGCTAAACTTATAATAATAAATGCCTCTCTGCCTCTTGTTTCCCTGACTGTTGGAAATCGTCATCTGTTGTTCCAGTTTTTAAGTACCCAGATGAAACCGTCCAACCCTTCCAGCTGTCGGCTTCTACCCCTTTTAGGGATACTACCAGAGTTACTAAAGATAATTGCGGAAGAAGTCTATCAAGCTCAAGATAAAAACGGCAAAACTCAGACTGTAGCTTTGGACATCTCAAAAACTTTCGACAGGGTTTCGCATACAGGTTTTATTCACAAATTGAAAAGTTACGGTGACCCGGACAATTTTCTTAACTGTCCCAGTCTTTCTTTTCAAATCGTGAAATAAAAGTTATCTTGAATGGCCACTCTTCCAGATCATTTCGTGCTAACGCAGGTACCCCCCCCCCAAGCATTTATCCTTGGTCCTACTTTCTTTTCTTTTTTTTTTAATTCGTTAACAACCTTCCGGGTGCCATCAGCTCCCAAGACCGATTGACTTGATAGTCAAATAGGTGGCTGATGTCAAAAACAACCTTCAGATAGCTTGTTAATTTTAACGCCTTCAAAACTAAGCTGCTCTCTGTTAATCATCTGAGAGACCCCTCTCTGCCTTCCATCAGTATGGCTGATGCTAACCTCCAGGAAAATGACTCATTGCACCTTCTCGAGCTAATGTTCTCAACTGACATAAAGTGGAAAGATTATATTGAATCCATTGCTAGGTCAGCTGCTAAGAAAGTTGGTTTACTGCGTCGTACTAGACATTTTTTCTCACCAGAATCTATCTTACATATCTATAAGTCTACAATTCGTCCATGCTAAGAATGTTGCTGCCATATATGGCCCGGTGCACCTGATATCTATTTAGAGATCCTTAATAAAATCCAAATAAGATATTATCATATGATTCCGATTTTGCATCTTGGCTTCTGTCACTTTCCCATCGCCGTAAAGTTGCCTCCCTGTGCCTTTTCTATAAATACTTTCATTGCAATTGTTCGGATGAACTATTCGCTATGGTACTTAGACTTTATGAATATTGCTTCACTACTAGAGTGTCGACGAGGTCTATCAATTTACAGTTGAGTTGGCTAGATGTAACTGTAATTTCTATTCTCGCACAATGTCTTTTCTCGCACTTCTCGCTTGTTCAGCTACCTGCTTTCCAGTTAACTTTAATCTTCAAAACTTTAAATGCAATGTCAATCGCTATCTACTGTCCCCTTGATTACTCTCATTTTGTTCTCGATCCTTAGTAACGTTTGTGCTTTTTAATTCTTCCACACTCACTAATCCCTTGTCATATAATCAAGTTCATTGGTTATATATATATATATATATATATATATATATATATATATATATATATATATATATCCTGGGCGTAAGAGAAAAATAGTCGAAATCATGTTACAGCAAAATTTTTCAATTGTTAAATTAATCTTTGAACCGCTGTTCTTAGAAATGATTAAAGATATCTCACTGGAATTTTATTTTATGTTTTATAACACTATTGAACTCTACTTTGAAGTTAAAATGATGATCCCTCTTGTTATTTTGTGACCTCCTGATCCAGTTTTCCTCTCTACTGTCCCCTCTATTTTAAACTTATTCACTATTCTCTTGATGGTTCATCAATGGACTTTGAAGATGAAAGCCAGAATATGAATGTTGGTACCATTACTGAATTGAAGAATGATCTTTTTCCTCTCACCATTACTCATTTGGGAAGATACTGGGTCTGACACAAAACGATTTAAACCTGTTCTCTTTCTAGCTGAATAACTCAAAAGGTTTTTCAGAGATTCTTACGAAAAAAATATGCCAAGATGACTAAACGTCTTATCTGAAAACCTGGAAAAAATATACTGAATTAGGTTAGTGGTATTTTAGATATTAAACATTTTGTAGGATGAACAATTATCGCATGCAGTTACTACACGATTTCTAGAATTTTGCTGTTACACCCGGTATATATATATATATATATATATATATATATATATAAATATATTAAATAATAAAAGGCTTAAAACTAATATTCCATGGTCATAATTTATTCCATTGGAATCGTAAATACGATCCAATTCCTCAGACCTACAAATTCAAAAAGAAAACAGAAAAACAACTCTGGAATATTTCTCTTACTTAAACCCCTTCCACTCACCTCTCCTAAAATTCTCTCTGTTAAGGTTTAATCTCCCCCCTTCTCTCGTCTGTTACCCCTCTCTTTAGCTCTAACATTCGTCCCACACTCTCATACTTACACTCTCTCTAAATTCTGTTTTTATTTCCGGTGTTGTTTTTTTCTGTTTTCTTTTTGAATTTGTAGGTCTGATGAATTGGATCGTATTTACGATTCCAATGGAATAAATTATGACCATGGAATATTAGTGTTTAAGCCTTTTTATTATATCCTTACTCTGTCCTGGACATTGAGTTCTACCTGGATTCTATCCTCTTGGAATTTTTTATTCAAAAAAATATACATGTATGTGTATGCACCTATGTATATATATTTATATATTTTGCATATGTATGTGTATATTTACCACTAATAAATATATATATATATATATATATATATATATATATATATATATATATATATATATATATATATATATATATATACAAATGTAAAAGAACGAAGAGTAAAATTTCATCGTTCAAAACATTAATTTAAAACAGGGCTTAGTACAAAAGTAGAGCAATAAATATTTATTTATTATGCACTCTTACATACATACTCTCTACAAAAATACCACCATCGTTTCCCACTTGAAGAAACGTTCATTTTTAACGTTGAAACAATATGTACAGTTTTGTAGTAGGTATGTACATGTTCTAATGTAACAGTGAATAATAGATAATTTGAGGTCGATCCCGGCGTGCGGTACCTTTGGAAAGTGCCTGAAAAACCATACTGCGGGTTGACCCAAGGCTTGTGAGTGAAATTAAGTAGACGGAAATCTTGTGGGCCGTCGATAGCTGTGCTAGTACGAAGCCACAAGTCATCGTGCCCGAGAACTTAAGCGTGCTGGCCTTGTTCAAATTGTTGATCGCGCTAAAGAACACGCTCTTTCCCAGAAATAGTAACTAAGGTCCGCTCAGCATATTTGCAGTATAAACCACAGGTGGGCTCTGTGGGTGTTAAGCAAACGCTAATGTGCCCGAGCGAGTGTCTGTAACAGGGATTTGCTAACCACCCTAGTAGATGGGTATCCTCGAATACGATATATATATGTGGTGGGGAGAAGGGATGGTGGAGTAGTGGATAGCGGTTCGGATTGAGGAATCGGAGAGCCGAGTTCGAATTCCAGTCCAATCCATTACATTTACTTAGGTGCTAATACCCTTGGGAAAGGTATAAATCCTCTTCTTCTCCCTCCAGCTATGGGTAAATAGCAGGACAGATTGGGTTCTATAGCCTTGGATGGCAACTGGTCTAGGAGAAGGACAACTCAGAATTTAAAACCTGCGGAGTGTCTTTTGGGGACCTTGTGGCACGTAGTGCATCAGGTCTCTGTGTTCGGCCCTTCAAAAAGTGTGGATGGTTCTGCACAAAGACTTCACCACTATAATCAAATTCTATGTGTCGGTTCCTAGGAATTGATCTACTTGACCTCCATGCGTCGAACTCGACGGGAGAGTGTATATATATATATATTTTATTAATTCGACAGATTTTATTACACGTTATTTTTCGTCGATACGCATATTTCAGTAGACGCTCCGTTTATTTATTAAAGTGTATATTTACTTATTTTCGTCCTGAATATTCGACAAATCTTATTTCTCTGTCGGTGAGCGCATATTTTCTTTAATGAGATTTCTTGAATATTCATGCTAGCAAGTGTTAGAGTTAGTGATTCATTTATTATTCAGACCTGCATTTCTCGGCTGGGTAACTTATTTCTGCCCAAATTATTATTGTGGACAGTTCTTCTTTGTGCTGTGTCCCCTGTGACCTTTATCAACGTTTTCCCATTTGTCAAACTCCCCTTCCCGCTTTCCCCCTTCCCTTCTCGTCAGGTCTTTGGTCCGCTACTTTCCCCTTTCTCTCTTATTTTTTTTTTTCCTTGGTTTTGTCAATGATTTTATTCTTTTTTTTTAATATTCATTAGCATTACATTTTTAAATATTATTATTATTATCATCATCATCATCATCATCATCATCATCATCATCATCATCATCCCCCAACCTTACAAAGATTGTAGATATAGCGCTAGTTCACACTTGATTGAGAAATTGTCGTATTATGGCGCCTGGGAAGTGTAAATATGGAGTTTTAGAGCGAGGAAAAACATTTGTGATCAGTGAGTGCGTCTAGCTAGGTAGCTAGATAGGACAATGAAAACCCGTCCTCCCCATTGTTTGCCTTATGCTGCTTATTTTTTTTTTTTTATATACAAATAAATATTTTAGAACAGTCATGCGTTCAACTAAACGTCCCCGCGGCTAAAGGGGTTGTGAGTTCTAATTTCAGTGAGAGCTTGTCTTACTTCAGAACCTGTATACTCACTGCCGCTGATTAACTACTTCAATAAAAACAAGTAAAATATAAGGTTAGGGAAATTAATTGCGAAAAATCTATATATTTTTTAAAATCATTTCAATCTAAGTAAAGAAACAAAGCCACTGGAATGCGGTATGGGGGGGTTGCACTAGACAAGAAAGAATTTAAAAAAAAAAACATTATTAAGAAGTGAGAACAATCAAAGGAGAGGAATTAAGAATACAGAAGATAACGATTGACATTGCATTTAAATTTTTGAAGATCAAACTTCACTGGAAAGCAAGAAGCATAAAAATAGTTCCACAAGCGAGAAGTGCACAAGAAGAACCTGTTAGCATAGAACTTGCGGCTACATCTCACAATTTCAACTGTAAAATGATGAGACCTAGCTGCCAATGCAGTACTGCGCTTAAATTCGTAAAGCTTTGATACTGTGGAAGATTCCACATTTGTCAGTTACACCCCATTGGAAAATGCACTCTTCCTCTATGGTAATTAGCACCACATTACATAAACACAGTACATAGACAAGCATTCATTGGTTAATCTACTCAAAACTAGCTCGCTGATTGGTCAGTTCCGACCAATCAAACCGCCTGCACGCGACAAATCTTATTTTCCCGCGTTTTCGCTCTGAGCCTCCCACGTGATACACAATCTTATATAAACAAAACACGTGTAAGTTCCCGTGCGTTTCTCTTCAATCATCTTTCTCCTTGCTGCCAAGATGTAACCTTCAAGAGCGCCCATCTTAACCACGTGGTCAGACGTTTAGAGATCATTACAACACTCACGCAAGTACAGTCAGTCAAGAAACACTGTGTCAAGAATGTTGTAAAGAATGAATAAAAATTTACTGCTACCAATAATTCAAAAATTTGTAGAAAAAAATGTTTATGTCTATATCATGTACCTGCTTCATGAGTTTAATTTAAATTTTTCTTTTTTTTTTAATAATAGTGAATTATTTTGTTTCTTCAGAATGTCTTTACAATAACCATAATTCTAGCAATTACCACTGCGTCATGAATGTTGTAAGGAATGAATAAAAGCTTTACTGGTATCAATAATTTTATGAACTTCAAAAAATTTTTAAAAAGTTTATGTCTATATCATGTACTAGCTTCATGAGTTTAATTTAAATTTTTCTTTTTTTTTAATAATAGTGAATTATTTTGCTTGTTCAGAATGGAGTTACAATAATCATATTTCTAGCAATTACCATTGCCCCAAGAATGTTGTAAGGAATGAATAAAAGCTTATTGGTATCATTGTCATGTCTAACGTTATTTTCGACGAGGCTACTTATTGCAATATCACTTCGGGGTTCGCATTAAATGTCACCGAAAACAGGCAAGGACAAACGCCTAAAAATAACGCACTTCGCACACAACTAAAAAAATAATTGTTCAATCCGGTTGAATGAGAAGTATATATATATATATATATATATATATATATATATATATATATATATATGCATTCGTCGCCGAGAGACGTATTTAGAATTACCGTTAAGTAGGCGGAAGAAAAGAAAAAAGATCACAAGCAAAGCGAGTCTCCTTGCAAATCATGCACATATGTCGCTATTGAATTTCTCACGGCCATTGGCTATCGGCAAAGTCGAAGATTGGTGACAATAACTCGCCAAATGGATGCTAGAAGTATAACGTTACTGCGATCCGTTGACGGCCGAGTTGTTCATTCCTCTCGTTTAACAAGACAAATCTCGCGAGATGTCTCACGATTTTTCCATACGATCCGAGCATCCACAATTCACTTCTCAATAAATTAAGATGGCTGCCAACTGCTGTAGTTAGCAAGCTTTCCTCTAGGAGTAGCACGTTAGTTTCGCAAATTTGTTCCTCATTGAATGTTCTACTATATTGAGCCTGTTCTAAATAATTTAAATAAACTATTTAATAAAAAAAAATAAGCCATTTTTGCGACTACCATAGATCGAGAATTGGCATGCTCATCTTGTCAACCACTTCGTTGCTACAGTTGCTTCAAAAATTACCGAAGATAGTCTTGTTTGTTGGGTCAAAAATACACCGAATGCGTCCACATATAGTTGGTTAAACACTCGGTAGAATGAAAGGGGGCACATGTTTACTGTCAGTCAGTTATGTGCCATGCGCGATACACGCTTAGGCGATCATGTATCTTTCGATACATGACTGACGAGGCAGATTTTTTCCGCAGTAGATTGTCATTTCCTTTTGCGGTAGATCAGTTGCTATAGAACCCGGTCAGCCCTACTATTTACCCAGAGCTGGGTAAATTGGGGAGAAGAAGACCAGTTGCCATCCAAGGCTATAGAACCCAGTCTGTCCTACTATTTACCCATAGCTGGAGGGAGAAGAAGAGGATTCATACCTTTCCCAAGGGTATTAGCACGCAAGTGAATGTAATGGATTCGACTGGAATTCGAACTCGGCTCTCCGATTCCTCAAGCCGCTATCCATTACTCGAACCGTTATTCATTACTCCACTATGCCTCCATGTTTACTGTATGTATGCCTAAATTTTAGACTCTGGTGGAAACGTGTATCAACCTTTTAGATTAACTTGCAAGCCAAATCTTTTAGACTCTCGTATCAACCAAACTTATGTCTATACTTCTGACACTCGTGCAAGCCAAACCTAGTTCTATCTTCTTTAATCTTAGCAACCAAACCTATGTCTATATTTCTGATACTCGTGTAAGCCAAACCTAAGTCTGTCTTCTTTAATCTTAGCAACCAAACTTATGTCTAACTTATTTACTCTCGTATCACCCAAACCCGTGTCTACCTTTTTGACACTCGTATCACCCAAACCCGTGTCTACCTTTTTGACACTCGTATCACCCAAACCCGTGTCTACCTTTTTGACACTCGTATCACCCAAACCCGTGTCTACCTTTTTGACACTCGTATCACCCAAACCCGTGTCTACCTTTTTGACACTCGTATCACCCAAACCTGTGTCTACCTTTTTGACACTCGTGGAAACCAAACCATTGTCTATTATACATCAGAATTCGGCATTCAATAACCTGGAAACTTTTGCTATTTCGCAATATAAGCCTAACCCAGTTCTCATTCTTCCTTAAGCCTAACCCTGCCGAGTGTTTCCCTGTTCTTGTATTTTAACAAACTAAAGTAAAACGGCCATCTCGATGTGCGTTAATTTTTTTTATATAATGTTATCCACTTTTTACAATGCCCAAAGGCCAATGGATGTAGATGCTTACAAAATAAGAGGCAACGCTTTTGCGTATATATGTAGAAGATAACGTTTAACGCTACATTTTAACAGGTTAAGATTGTAGTTATCGGGAAAGCGGCTTCTTAGAAGTCGATTCCACAAGACAGTGATTCCTAAAAAGAAGTTGTTTCAGGGTAACTTAGATCTCACCAAGAGAAGATGAAGGGAATGAGGGTGGTTCGCTACAAGAGGCGTGGTATGGTTGTTTGACGTGATGGTTAGGACTAGTGGAACTAAGTAGTGTAGATCATCTGAACATTCTCCATGAAAATAGCGATAGTACAGCTAGAAGCTTGCGACATCGCGTCTGTAAAAAAGGGGTCGTAGGTTGGTCAATAATTCCTCACCTACAAGGACGCGAGGAGACTTTTGGACTATATTGAGAGTGAAAAGTGAAGACTGGGCCGCTCCTGGTCAAATATGGCAGCAGTAGTTCATTTTCGGCCTGAACTTGTAAAGGTATAGAATAGCAGGAGGGTGATGTACTTGCTAGAACGGTACAGGGAATCACCCTTTTTTCCAACATCTTTAGCGATCATAGTATGTATGAGTTCCACTTGAGGTTTGGACTGAGTTTAAGTCCCAATAGGCGTTCAAAATGGTTAACAAACTCAACCCGGTATATGACTGAATAATTTTTAACTTTTAGCTAGTGACAATGAAACTCTATTAATTCCAGCATTTCCTGAATTGATCATTAAGTTTCGGTAGCCCAGCCCGCTCAAATGGTATTTTATTGAGAGTGTTCCCAACTATCTGGATGTAATCCCATGTCACCTCAGCCTTCAAATTTAAAAATACAACCCTCTCGCCATCCGGCTATGATGCTCGCCAGAATATTACCTGCAGCTATATTTCTCATGCTTGATAATTGTTGTGGTGTCCTCCCTCTAAAGAGTCTATGTTGGACTCTTCCGCCTACTATAAGATTAGTAGGAGAGAAGGCCTTGGGGGAAACAGTAGAATAGATTGAACACTGGGTCAACCTACACACACTTCGGTTGTATTTACTGTTTAATATATGATATATCTGTAATATTTGTTTTTTTTTATTTCTTTAACCATTTACTTGGTCACAACATCTTGGAGGTGAAAGAGACCAACATAGACTCTTTAGAGGGAGGACACTACAACAATAATCATGACTCAAAAAGCATAAAGGTATTAGAAGTAGATAGTCAACAATAGACCATCTAGAAACAATGAACCAACAATATACTAAAACCACTTTATCTAGCTATTTTTGGTTTATGAAAAGGCATTTGATT